TGTTCATTTGTCAGTCCTCAATTTTTAGCTCGTTTTCATTTTCCTGGCATCTAGCCTAGTTATTATTAAGTTTCTGGCTTTCTTTTAAGTTGCCACTAGTATATCATTCTATTTGTATTGCACTATACTGACCTTTGAGCACCTCTTATTGTTTGGTTTTCAATCATGGATTAGTGAAACAAGGTATTTGCAAAGTGACTCAAGAGTTGATTCTAGTCGTTCTGGTTTTGAGTTATTTTTTCATCTCTGCTGAGTGCATGTGCTTTGTTTCTACATGATATTTTTCCAACACTCATTTTAGTTATGACATGTATAATTTGACGTTTTGTCTTGGTACATAGAACCAGCTAATGCTGTTCTTATGTGCGTTGTTAAAGGTGGAGGATTTTCTCATATTTCTGGGGCATGCGAAGTGTAGATGGTCCACAACATTGTGTGCCTTGACAAAAGGAAAAGATTCACATGGACTAAATTCTTACCAAAGTCAAGTGTTGTTGGATTTGAGTGATATTTTGAATGTTGACCCAAATTTTATACAATAGGCAAGAATAGTTTTTTTTTTGTTGGGGGGTGGGGTGATGTAGATCGTATTAGCTCTGATACCAAATTGATGTAGATCGTAGTAGGAAAGAAGAAGGAGATGAGAAAAGAAGAACAAGAGGCTGAGAAAAGAGAGAGAATTTAAATAATATTAGTAATCAATAATAATCAAAAGTTTAATTTCACAACAAATATGTATTTCCTATATATATAAGGAGTTCACAAATCCTATATATATAAGGAGATCATAAACCCTAAAATAAATAAATAATTAAAATGACAACTAAACCCTTAAAAGTTAAAAGAAAATACTTAAAAGATAAATACTAAATTATTCTCATGATTAATCTAAAATATCTATTCAATTCCTACACGAGCCCCATCATTCTCCTCTGGAGAGTTTTCAAAGTAGAAGTACCCTACGAGAGCAGAACGAAGATGACATAACGTTTCATCTAGAGTGAAAGAACCATCAATATTTTTCTATCGATTAGAATAATGTAAGAATCTCCATCTGTATCAATGTAAATCTAGTCATGTAGCACATCATCAATTTGCCCCGAAATACACAATGGAAGTTGAAAGATAAGAACTGAAGCTAATGCTGAGGAAGAATCAATTCTACTTGTAGAAACACTTGATAACAAAATAAGAGGGTCTGGTGTACCTCGATTAAGTAACATGTTTTTCAAATAAAAATCTGGACTAATACTAATATTTAATGAAAAATTAAACAAATAAGTATTAGATCCAAACTCAAGAATAGCAAAACAATTTTCATTAGATTTGAACAAAAGACATTCAGTGGGACAAGACATTAATGACAAAGGAGTAACTATAACACCCTATTGCTGAAAATAAGAAAGTACAGACTCAATTGAACACTTGATAGTAGGCAAAGAATAAAAGTTAACACTCTCAAGTGGGGCAGAATCCAGAATAATGTCGACAATCTCAAGTTGGGAAGAATTCGTGACAAAGTCATGATGACTTGGACAAGTAGACAAAGAATAGTCACTAGTAGATTCTGCAATAAATGACTCGATTGACTTAATATCTTGCATAGGTGTAGACTCAACAGATTTTTTCACAATTTTTAAGATTAATGATGGTTCAAGAATTGACACAAGCAAAGATTCACACACTTTCTTTCGATATGAACTCTAGTGGGTGCAAAGGAGGAGAACTCTGATCTGATGAAATTAAATGAGGGAGTTGAAAGTCAATATGAGTAACATTTTTCTCTTTATCCGATACTAGCATATTTAAATCCTTTGCCACATTTGGATTAAGAAAGCATGCAGAAAGATGGACATCATTCAAGTAATCATGATACTGGTGGAATTAAAATTGGAAGGTATCATTTCACGCTGTTTAGCAGATTGAGATTGAGAACTCATTAAGCTATAATTGGATTTTTTATGAAATCTCTCAACCTTTAGAACATATTGATAAGCTGCAACTATCTAATTAAAAGTGTATAGCTTGACCTCGCTACTAATTTTTTGTCTCAACTCTAGAATAAATTGATCAATTGTCTAAGGTTTTTCAACAATGTAACACAAATACATGAGATAATCGACTGGGTAAAGTAATCAGAGATACTAGAAGAATGTTGTCTAAGATTGAGTCACTGGTCATAAATTTGATCCATGTAGGAAGTAGGCAAATACTTCTGTTTCAATTTATATCTCATTTCAACTCAAGTGATAGGTAATTCTCCTAAAGGGTATAGGCTTCTTTGGATTGTTTGCTAATACTGCTTGGCGGAAGCCTCCAACATCAATTTAGCAAAACGGACGCAACGAGAATTTGACATGCTATGTCAATCAAAATATTTTTCTAAATTAGCTAACCAATCCAAGAATTAATTAGGATCTAAAGTGCCACTAAATATAGAAAGATCTTTGACTAGTGTGGTCATATGTGTTGACTTCATGTAAACATCCCTAGACTTCCTGTGATGATGACCTCGATGAGAGACTCTTGAAACATGTGCGTTAGAGGAACTCATGATTGACTATTGAAATATGAGAATGGTATAAGAACAAATTTAAGAAGTGAAAAATTTTTCGAAGAAAATATGTTTTGGACCTTTTGTAAATTCTCTAATTTCCCGATGAATAAAAAATATTAGTCTCAAATTTTTATGGAAGTGTGCATACCATAATCAAGAGGAAATTCTAAAATTTTTTGGGGATGATTCTGTAATTTCTAAAACTTTTGGGGGAGAAATCTGTAATTTCTGAAATTTCTTGGGCAGTTTTGGAATTTTTGAAAACCTCTTGGGATGTGTCTGCAGCTTTTGGAACTTCTGGGTGACGTTTCTGCAATTACTAAAAATTCAGGGGTGATGTTTCTATAATTTTCTAAATCTGTTGGGATGTTTCTATAATTCTGGAGCTGCTGAATAGTATTTCTGTAATTTGGTGAAACTTATGGGTGTGATTCTGTAATTTTTTGGACCTTCTGGGGATGTTTCTATAATTCTAAAATTTACTGAGGTTGAACAGTCGCGATGAACAATAACGAAGAATAGTAACAAATGAACAGTATCTTTTTTCTTCTGGAATGAGACCAGAACAACGATGAACACCAGGACAGTGCAAAAGTATTTTTTTTGGCTATCTGGGTGACATTGGTTTTATGTTGTCGTTGTTGGTGGCTGTGTTGAGAATTTTGACGAAGGCTTTGTGATGACAGTGAATAGCAACAATACAACTAATTAATGATGATTGAATAGATTCTATGGTAGCGGCAGTGTTGAATTGAGATTAGGCTTTGATACCAAATTGATGTAGATCGTAGTAGGAAATATTAGTAGGGGAGATTTGGGATGAGAAGGGAAGAAAAAGAGGATGAGAAAAGAGAGAGAATTTGAGGAAAAAGTAATATTAGGATTCAATATCAGTAATTCATAATAATCAAAAGTCTAATCTCACAACAAATATTTATCCCCTATATATATAAGGAATTTACAAATCCTATATGTATATAAGGAGATCACAAACTCTAAAATAAATAAATAATCAAAATGACAACTAAATCCTTAAAAGTTAAAATAAAATACTTAAAAGGTAAATACTAAATTACTCTCATGATTAATCTAAAATATCTATCCAATACGATCTCCATCATGGGGTCAGTGTGCTCAAGCAGTGTTGAATCATTTTATTGCTTGTAAAAAAATTTGCAACATGTTGATCTTTGAATTCTGTGTAAAGCTGACACTTCACTGGGAGAGATGGGAATTTTATTGTACTTATGGTCGACTATACACGATTTCTTTGATTTGGGTGTCGCTCATGTGTTTTGTGATCCCTTGGCTCGTCTACCTGTGTTCCAAAGACATCACTTGCTAAAAGCAGAAGCTGGGAAGGCCGTTTATTAGATATTTATTCACTTTAGCATAGGAAGTGCATGCCTGTGTACGTTCAATTTTGGATCTAAGGGTAGAACTTTGGGTAGGTGTTGGGAATCTGTGAAGTATTGAATGCAGTGTTCATTTTGCTTTGGTATGGTTATTGGTGGAAGCAATATTAGTATACGTTCTGCACAGTGGACAAGTGATATGCTGAACACCCCAGTTCTTGAAATACGTAATTTGCAGGTTCGCAAGAGTGACGCTGAAAATAAATTTTCCTTGTCTGAAGATCATTGAAAAATACTCTTGCTATGTTAAGCACTGGCACTCAATTTTAGTAAGAAATGTGTGAACTAAATATTCCGAATTGTTCTTCCGACCAGATATAACCTTATGTTTTCCCTTGTGTTTGATGGAAGTTATCCATGAACTTTTGCAGATCGTTGTTTTTTTACCTTTTGGGGTATAAATCCATGTTCTCTCTTTTGATTCAGTATTTTACAGAGATGTTTGATGCTGATTAAACTACTCCTGCTATTTTCCAATTTTTCTTCTTTTCCCTCTATTTTGTTGGGGTACCTGCGGAGAAACAGGGATTCAGAAAGGTTGATCCTGACCGCTGGGAGTTTGCAAATGAGGGATTCTTAAGAGGCCAACGCCACCTGCTTAGAAGTATTAGTCGGCGAAAACCTGCCAGTGGCCATAATCAGCAACCACCACCTCCACCGCCACCCCAGCAGCCGAGTTCATCAGTGGGGGCGTGTGTTGAGGTAGGGAAATTTGGGCTTGAGGAAGAGGTTGAGAGGCTAAAAAGGGACAAGAATGTGCTTATGCAGGAGCTTGTCAGGTTGAGACAGCAGCAACAGTCTACTGATAATCAGTTACAAGTGATGCTGCAGCGTCTACAAGGAATGGAGCAGCGGCAACAGCAGATGATGTCATTCCTGGCGAAGGCTGTCAATAGCCCTGGCTTTTTGGCACAGTTTTTGCAGCAGCAGAATGAGAGCGGCAGGCGCCTTACCGAAGGAAACAAAAAACGCAGGCTTAAGGAGGAAGATGTCTCAGATGATCATTCTGTTGGCCCTATGGATGGACAGATTGTTAAGTACCAGCCTTTGATAAATGAGGCAGCCAAAGCAATGCTCAGGCAGATCATAAAAACTGATGCTTCACCTCAGCTGGAAACCTTCAGCAACAGTTCTGATAGTTTCCTGATCAGTGACAGTTCATCAACATCCAATGCGTTTGACCATGGGACTTCTTCAAACCGTATCTCAGGAGTGACCCTTCAGGAGGTCCCACCACCTTCTGGGCTGTCTTATATGGCAGCAGCTTCAAAGGACACAGGTCACAGTTCTTTAGCTTCCATATCTCAGATTCAGTCTTCCTCCCTAGGTGCAAGCTCTGAGATCATGGGAACTCCATATTCGGACCTCAGCCCGCTGGTTGAAGGGCAAGAATTGCATTCTGTTACTCTTCCCCCACCTGACATAATTATGCCTGAGCTCTCTCAAGTACAACAAATGGTGTCAGAAACCAATGTTGGTAATTTGAGACCTGAATCAGGGAATACCACTTTCTTGGATGAGTTGGATCCAACCTCCTTGGGGGTGAATGGGAAAATGCCATTAGAAATCGGCAGTTTCTCTCCTGATACTGAGATAGATTGGGACATTTCTTTGTTGGACGGGATCCAAGAGCTTCCTAGCATAAGCGACCCCTTCTGGGAAAATTTTCTTGCACAGAGTCCGCCTGCGGAGACTGAGGAGATGGACTCAACTCCACCGGAAGATCTTACCGAGGGAAATGAAGCAAAGCCTTTGCAGAATGGATGGAACAATGCTCAGCATGTGGATCATCTTACAGAACAGATGGGGCTTCTTTCATCTGATACCAAAAATGTCTGATCTCGTTTTGCCAAATATATGTTTGTGTCTCATCATCTTTGGTAAGTCTCGAAAACACTAGTCTGGGTTTCTTGTTTGCTCCTCACTTGATGCGTAACTCAAGCTTATCCATAGAACGAGCTCCTCTAAGCGACTAGCTTATTACTTGTCTTTGGTCATCTTATGCTGACCATAAGAGAGCAGCTATAGCTTTTTGTACAATACCTTTTTGTATTATTTTATCTTGGCTTTGTTTTGCACATATGGAGGGGACTCGTTTTTTAGTTTAGTTTCTTATTTATGGCCAATATTGTATTGTACCGTGAGACTAGTGGATTGATGGTTAGACACATGCTCAACAATAGCCAGGAAAATGGTCTTGCTTCTAAGCCTTTAAAAAGAGAAAATGGAATAGTGATTTAAAAGAAGTCATGGCAGTGTGGCAGCTTACTGTAAGACCTAATTGAACTAAACAGCCAAATATGGGAGCTAGATGTCACCAAGAAAAGCTCACGTGCCCTGAATTTGTTAGCCATGCATGTCATCTGGGTCCAGTGGTGTTTCTCCATGCAGTTGTGTGTGTGTGTGTGTGAGTGAGGGAGAGAGAGACAGACTGGCGAGTACTATGTCTGCGCAGATGACAGTGGTCAGAAGGCACTAGCAAGCCTTAGGGCTACACTTACCATTTCCAGTCCCAGACGGTTATTTCTGGCACTGGACCCAGTGGCCTTCACCATTGTCATCGACCAGTTTAATTACCTGTTTTTGGTAATGGATTCACAAATACATATGAAGGGGTTGATAAGTGCTTCGTCATTAATTACATAGAAGCAGGATTGGTACACGATGTCTTGCGTGCACGCGGAGTCATTTTGGAGTGGAGGTGTTGGAATACAATGGGGGCCATTTTCTGTTGATTGGTTTATCGGAAAACACCAGATTGGACAACCCTAATATGTGCAATTTGCTTTGGAGAGATGATAAAGACGCCGGATGCAGCTTCACCGGGGTTTCAGAGTTTTGTCTAGATATGTCTGGTGAAGCTAGGCACATATATACTAGGGATGGGAGGAGGAAGAGGAGGAGGAAAAGTGGGGGGAAGTAATCTCCCGGTCCTTGCCCCGTGGGTAAATTTTGATCATTGTTCTTGTCTATAACAAACTAACAATTAATATCTATAATTTTCAAAGAAAAAATAAAAAATAAATCATAAAACCTCACATATGAATTCACAAGAAAGATAAAAATTCATTATATAACAAATGAATCAAAGATAAAAATTCATAAAAATAATATATATAATAAATGTGTGTTTCACTTAATTGTTTTATATATATATATATATATATATATATTATGAGTTTAGCGGGGTGAAAAAGGACAGGACAGAGGTGGGGCAAGGATGAATTTACGGGTTTATATGAGTATTCTTGTATATTTTACCGTCTAATACGTATGATCCATCTCTGATCCAAACGTGGCATAATCATAAGCACAATCAAAGTCTCAAGGTACCAATTGGCATGCAACTTTAGTTGTAAAACTTAGGTAAATTTGAATTTTTATGAAAAAAATGGTAAAATTGTAATTAGCCACTACGGTACGAGTTAAAAATTTAAATTTTTCTAGAACTCGGATGACAAAACGGATTTTTCTGTTGGATTCGTCTTGCGAAATCTAGTTATCTAGTCAATTTTCATTGAATTCTGAGACAGTTGAATTTTTTACGTTTTACACGGCGATCGGGTGTCGTGTGACAAAAATAAATGAGAGTGGGAACTAAATTGTAAAAATAGATAATAATTTAAAGTAAGTTCAAATAAAAATATATTGAACTTGAACTGAGACGAGATTTAATTAATTCAGGATGAAATCAAATATAGGAAAGGCAGACGTGTGGTGTAATAAGGGCCAAGTATTCAAGGGATATAAATAGGGAGAAAATTAAATTTTCTCTCCATTACCCATCAGACATCAGATTTTAGTTAGAAAGGGAAGAGAGGGAAAAATAAGCGTTTTTTCAACTTCTTTCTATGATTTACAATTCTCCGTTCGTCGAATCACCTTGGGCCAAGAACAAAGATTGTTTTACGCCATGTGGGCTACAAAATCATCCCAAAAATCAAAATTTTTGATGAAGTTCAAAAGACGGGATTTTTGAAAATCAAGGGCTAAAGTTTGATTTGAGTTTTGAAGGTTTTCTACCACTTATTTTACGCTTTAAGAGATATGGTTCATTTCCTAATTAGGTTTAATTCTAACATAGGGTTGAAATATAAAATGAGTAGGGTGTTAGAGATGTAATTTCATGTATGACACATAACTATTGTAGTTAAAATGTGAAAAATGGATTTAAGAATGGTTAAGATCAATTTTTACATGAATTGAGTTGTTGAAATTGCTTGTTTGGTGATTTCATGAGAAATGTGATAAATTGAACATATTATGTATTTACATGATTTTGTACCTTGTGGGTGTTTGATAAAATGTCTTATATGAAATAAGCATGTTATTTGGGTGAAATTGAAATGACATGTTTTGATGATGTTATAAATTGTAATTATTATACTTATGATATAATTGACAATTGAAAATGTTGGTTGAGATGAAATATTGTTTATAATGTGCACATGACATATTGAATTTGATATTGGAATTGTAATTGTGTATTTACATTTGCATATACGCAAGTAGCATCACATCGTAGGCATTTGACATGAGTGTGTGTGTGTGCGCTTGTTTTTGGATCAAACACCATTTTGGGTTGTTGATGCGTGGACTCGGGAAGGTTGGACTTAGGTCCGACTGAGTTGCACGGGTTGCCTGAAAAATTTGTGTTGGGTATAATAAAAAGTGTTAGACTCTCACTTGGGTACAATATCCGATTATTTGTTTATACATTTCTGACGGTGAAAGTTCAAAAAAATGTATTGGTGTATGCAGAGCCGGAGGTGAGATACCAAAATCAATGTCAGTGTGGTGGACTGCTGGTGCAAGTCCAGGAAATCACTTACCCAAGAAAGACACGTGGTTTATTTTAAAAAAGAGGTCATTAGATGTGTAACATCAATGGCGAAGGCTTGGAATGCCCAGGTTTGTACGCATTAGCATTGTATGTGTTGAGGAAGCTGGTCAAGGATCGGGTTGAGTAAGCTGGTCAAGGATCGGGTTGAGTTGCATGTATGAGTCTCATCTCATAACATGACATAACATAGAGAATCCATTATGAATTTCATATTCTTGAATGGATTGATTGTTGCTTGTTGAATTTGCACGTGAACATTTCATATGTATCTAGGTTAGAGAGTAGTCTCTTTAGGAGATACCTTATTGAGCGTGACTCACCCTTTATGGGGACAACATTTCAGGTGCGGGATATGCGCCGATGGACGGCCCTCACTCGGGCCCTCATTAATGAAAAAAAATCGAGATGTGACTTTTAAACTATGTTTTTGTAAAATTAAGATGTAATTTAATCTTTGGACATGATATTGTATATAAGGGATTGTAATCAAACTCATACGAGCTATGTATTTTGTAAAATTGCATGTTGTATGATTTTGGGTTGATGATGTATAAGGTTTAAATGAATTGGAATTGAAAAATGATGGAATCAGGAGAAAATTAGGGAGACCTACCGATAGAATGACGAGTTTTTTTATCAGTAGAACATTTCCAGTAGGCTTTTTCTACAAGCAAAATGTCAAGTTTGCCTATGAAATATTTCCAGTGAGTTTTCCTACCGGTAGATTTTTCTAAATTTCATAATTTAAAATAGTTTTGTCAGGCCTTCGGCTTTTGAGTCCTTTTGTTTAGAGGATGTAAATGTAGTATAATTGAGGTTAAATTAATGTATGTTGGACCTTGGATGGGTCATATAATTATAATGTGTACAGGTTATGCATTTGAGAGTGCCCGGTACAAAGGAGACTCTGTCCAAACGTTGTTTTGTTTGTGATCCTGATAAAAGAGATGTTGTGCTGTGGTGTTAAGTTATGCGACATTCACGAGTATTTTTGCGAGTTGATAGGTGATCAACAGCGAAGAACACCCAATTTTAGGGACGTCACATTAGTAATACATCCTCAACTTGATTGACTTTCCAAATGAGCGACGTAGATATATAATGAGATCCACCCTAGATTGACTGTGATCCAGAATGTTTTTTGTCACAACATTGCGTTTTGAAGATAAAAAAGAAAAGAAACGAAAGAGTATAAGGGGTACAAAAGAGGCCAACAACTCTATGCAAGTTCAGACTCGAGCAAAATCTAAATCTAGTGAATTTTACTGTTTACCTTTTTTTTTGTTGACTTTCAGAATATTAACTCGTACGAATCGATTCACTAGACTAACAAGAGACTAAGTGTAGGCCTCTGCATACTGATTTCGAGGTCTTGACTGCATAAAATTTGAGTTTAACCAATGTGCTTGATTTGAAAATAACTGCATAAAAATTTGCATTGCAATTATAAATTCAGATGATAAGTGATTGTCAGATTCAATGCAACAAGAGAAAACTTTTGAAATAGTATGCAGGTTCAATTCAAATCATACAAGAACAAGAAAAGTCAGTTTGCGGGGCCTCCAGACAGATACTAGGCAACTACTTGTAAATATCTAAATTATACTATCTTCAACAACTTAAACTTTTGAAATAAATAATTATTTTAACATGATATCAATAAAAAAAATCTTATGTTTGAATCTCGCCGCCACCATAATTATTAAAAAAAATTTCACGTACGCGTGAAAAAGGCGTGTTGATATAAATAATTAAGTTACACCCTCTTTAACAATTTTTTGAAATAAATAGATTGTTTAAATACTCAAACAGTTATGGAGTGCTTGGCAAAACTGAAAACAGAACATTTTCCAGAAAATTTACAAGAAAGCATCAGCTAGATTGGTCCATGTGGATCGGTCTCTACGAAGATCCACAGTGGAGGGGCAGAATCAGTTCTTAGATATCCAAGGAAGCATCAGTTCTTTATAACTACAACTGTTAGATAGGAAATCCAACCAAAATACAGAAGAAAAATAATTTCGGAGCGGCCATTGGTACAAGATGCTATTTGGATAGAAGGCATATCGATCATTTAGGCGGAGCCGGGTTATGGTTTCTTGTGGTTTCTGCATTCTTCTGAAGAAGACCACCTGTATCATTAGACAAAAAATAGGTAAATGAAGGAGGTGCTACTTTCACTGATATGAAGAAGCTAGAATGATCAGTAATGGTAAGTTGAATCAGCATCATTGTGAATATGTAACTATGACAATAAATGGGTGTGTAACCATGCAAACTTGTTCGGTTACCAACAGTGTCCACTGTCCCGTCTCTATCAAAAACATGGTAGAAGACACGATTATTGTCATTTAGACTAGGCTTTTCCCGCATACAGTTTTAATCATCTAATAGAGCTGCCATGAAACTTATCCCAAAAAACTTGACAGCATATTATAAGAGGCTACAGCATGAGTTTTTATACCTGTTCTGATCGAATCATTCATAGCCTCACAATGCCACCCTTAGCACCTTCTACTTAAACTAACTTGACATAAATATAATCACATCATGATTAAATATTGCATTCTTGAAATTATCAGAAAATAATGTGTCAACTTGAGACTGCTCGGTTTTTTCTTACAACATACGAAAATCTTTTCATCCATAAGTTGTTGGACTTGAATGCAAGAATTCCTGATGGTAGTAGCAGCAGCAGGCAATTGACAATCTATAATATAAAATAGGACAAACTTCAATGAGTCTATCCGACGGTCTCAAATAAACCCGTTCAACGGCCACCAGTATCCCTCTCAAAACTATTCATATTGTACCGCCTTCAAGTATGGATTACCTCTAGTATCATTGATGTAGGACGACACCAAACGTTTTACTTTGGCCATCCAGTGAAATATAGTATGGTATAAGTTCACAACAGCTTTTTTTTTTTTTTTTGGGATTGCGAACTATGGACCGGTGCTAGGATTTATATACCAAACAGGATGATAATAAGTCTGGACAGATCAGAAGACAGGGCAAGCTCAGGGATGAAATTCATTAGCTTCTTAAATTGAATAGACAAAGTGTGGTGGAAGTTTCGGGCAGACAACATGTATAGACTTCTAATTCACAGAAAGCTTCACATTTTGGGAAAACAACTAGGATAGTGAAGGTGGTTTAAACTTAGAATCTCGTCGACATCAAACTCAGGACAATGGATTGGTCGCATCATGCCAAGTTCAAGGGATTTAATCTGCTGGAAATTTCTGCAATCTGAAATCTATTGAATTGTAAGAGTACTTAGTATACATTGCTGATAGTCTTGTTATTCCAAGTAGCTTTTGTGTTTCATATTGGACGTTGCTTATACTAATTTTGGATTTGAAACCAAATCTAAACCTATATTGGAAACATACTTTTGATTGTAACACTATCTAAACGTAAAGTAAACAACAGAAGGAGGCTAATCGAAGCAACCAAGTCTATGTACTAATAAGAGAAACTCCAAAACCCACAACATTACTGATTAGTACAGGTAGGTCCACAAAATATAAAATTTCATAAGACCATTAGGAAGACTTGCAGACATGCAAACTCAACTCAACTCAACTGAGAGCGTATTGACCTAAAGAAAAGATGAAACATCATTTCCTTCAATATGTCCATTTGGCCCTTTTCATTATGGTATTTTTGCCTTGATAAAAGGCCAAATATGCTGTAGTGGTCGGCTGTAAGCTTGTTTACATGCAATTATGTTGCTTTCTTGTCTATGCATTTGGATTTCTTTTAGGTCAACTGCTTTTAGTGTACTTCATTGTTTCATTAACTAGAAATCTTGCCCTCTTTTAGATGTACTGTCCATCGAAGACAGACAAGAACTTGAAGGAAGAACTTCTATCATCCTATTTCCATGTTGGTTAGCCTTTCCACTCTCTTGTTATGGTCAACAAAGCTATTGCACTGGACTGAAATGCCAAATAAGCAAAAACAGTAGGCTCTTGCATTTCTGTTACTTTGTTATGTGGTCAAGAACACCCATTGGATGAATTAAACCAATCAAATAATTGGCATTAAGAAAGTATGCAATATCAGGCCTCCTCGAGCCCAGAATTAACACAATACAGCAAACATAACTAATGCACACAATTCACCCAACAATGATTAGGCACTGACTATGGAAGTTTGACTCATCAAAGTTAAAAACTGAGTTCAATATACATGCCAAAAGAAGTTGAAAAACTTTAAAGATAAAACACAAAAGGCAGAAACAAATAAAAACTTATGCACAAAATGACAAAGCTTAGCAGCGTGGGTTCGAAACCAACCTGGTTTTGATATAAGGTGAATTCGAGACCGAGGTCCTTCAAACATCCAGCTATCTTCATCCAAGGATTTAACCTCTTTGTTAAGTGCAGCCATCAGATCAGACTTCAAAACTGTAATGCAGAACCAAATTAGGCTTTACTATGTAGAAAAACTGCATGTTGGGTTGTGAAGAACGAAAAAGCTCAAAAGCCTCAATAAGCAAGCAATTGTGTGAGACTTAATTGAGTTGAACTAGTTCAGCTTTCAAGGTCCACCCTGTCAACAATTCAAATCGAAGTTCTGATTTACATTGAAGTCCAGTCTTAGATTCACTCAGCAACAAGGTCTTTGATTGATTTTCGAAGGAAAAACACATACAAACTACATACAAACGAAATTCAACCAAAGAAACCGTACAAGGCAACTCCAAAATCAAAAACAAAAAAACAAAAAAACAAAACAAAACCGAAGGAAACCCAGATCATATATATCGAAAATTAAAGGACCCAGATGATCGAACTTGTAGTATTTCAAGAGAATAGAAGGAAACAGAGAGAGAGAGAGAGAGTGACCAAGAATTGCCTCGTCCTTGCGGTCTTGGATGGAGATGAGGTCGGCCGGGAAGTGGAACTCCTCGATTGCCAATGAAGAAGCCGCATTCGCCCCAACAATCGCTGTGGTCGAAATCGATGAACGCGCCGGAGATGATGATGACAGTGAACTGTTACTACTCATTTTCTCTCGTTTTCCCTCCTTTCTCAGGAAAATTTTCACTTCCGCCTATCCTCTAGCTTTAGTACCACTCTCGAAGCTTGATATAGTAAACGACGCCGTTTAATTACCAATCCAAAATCCTGCATGTTAAAGTACCAAACTGCCCTGACGGGCCCCCAAATTTCATTTCTCTCCCTCTTCTTCTCTCTCACAGAAACATCAGACTCTGTAGTCCCCTACCCACCACCAGCGCATCTCTCTTTGCACCACCACCACGACACCACCGCACCAACAACATCATCACACGCCATTGACCATTTATACGCAGTGCACACAACCCGCTGAACAACACGCATACACACTCACCACCTCCTCCATGGCATTCCCAAAACCCAATCGAGAGGGAGAGAGGAGGACGTGACCGTGCACCTCAGTTCGTCGGCGAATCTCAATATTTCCAAACTCGATTTCACTCCCGTCGATCGTCAGCTGCCGTTGGCCATCTCGGCAGTGAGATCAGAGCACTGCAATCGGCTATGTTGGGCGAATAATTCGGCGATTTCGTAGCAGTCTAACCGCTGGTGGATTGTTTGATGGTAACATTCGGATTTGGACACTGAACAAACAAAGTGGCTTGTAAGGAGATTCTTCTTCTAATCCAACAAGCGGGTGTTTTCTTCAACTTCTTGTTTCACGGTTTCAATTTCCACCGATCGCCAAATACCCATGTAAGCTTTATCCACTCTTATATGCTAGCGTCCTTGGATTTATTGTTCATCCTATATACACGTGTATACATAAATTCCTATATATATTTTTTATTGATGTATATTTTTGTTGAGGTTCTATGCAGGATTTATAAGAACAACCATTTATCACTCTTTGCTGTGGCTGGTGAATAAAATCATTTGATAGATCTTCTAATTGGAGACAGTTTAACACTCGTAGTCCATGTGCATATTTACTTACTTAGAAATTCAGGAGATATATAGAGAGGAATATTGGGGGATAGGAATTCTGAGCGTAGTGGGATGTCAGCTGGCAACACCAACCATTGGGACGCCTTATGGAAGTTCCATATCAGAATTTCCAGATAGGATTTGGCTCACTCAGAAACACCAAATGTGACTGTTGAAGGCCTAATCACCATCTGTTAGCAAACTGTGACGAGTTTTGATTATTGTCATTCAATTGGTTTCTAAAACCCGAGGTTGCCCTCACTAAGGGGGAATGCTGGCACCGCCCCCTATGGAACAACTAAAATCTAGACTGTTTAGGTCATGCTTTTTTTTTTGTGTGTGTAAAGAATAGAATTTAACCCCAATCTCATGATGAAGATTGCTGTAAACAAGTAACCCTTAGTTTCTGTGCAAACTTCCTTTGTCTAGAATTCTAGCCGGAAGACCAGTGCCTTGATTTTGAATGACAAAAGCATTTAGACGAGAACTATCTATATCGTTAAGCTTCAAGCTATCAGTGCATAATTGATAACCCAATAGAGGGAAACATTCACGGTATATTTATGGTCCTAATTCCAAGGGTGATAAGGATTGACATCCCTTGAGATGATTGGTCTTGGAATTCTTAACTCACAGGAAAATGTAAAATGACCAGGTTATATATAAAAAAGAAGTTATATTATTGGCTTGATCTGTCACAGCGGGGACTTGGTTGTGGCTAGATGATGGCATATAGCTTACCAAGCTTTGTGGTAATGCTTGCACTTTAACATAGACAGTTACATGTTGCTTATTACTATTATTCCATTGTACTAGAGAACTACTTATCTGAAATACTTTATTTTCAGATGATTGATTTTCTAACCATAAGTTTCAAGTGATGTAGGGACATGGCATACATACATACAAAGAGTACATAGAAACACCAGAAAACTACAAGAGATTTATTGGTTAAACCCTGAAAAACTTTCTCAGAGTTCTTATGCCTTGTCTATTTTAAATTGGGATTTTCACCTGGATAAATGTACTTGATTGAGGTCCAACATATCAGTGTTATCATAACCGGACTGAACATCGAACCGGCAAAGTGATCGGGTCAATGGTTCAATAGGTCAACCATTGTTGGGTCAACTGGTCGGACCGATTGTATAATAAAAAATTAAAAAAAATTATACAACATAATAATTTAGTTAAAAATTCACAATCATAATAAAAATTACTGTGTGTAGTGTACTGAATTTTTTGATTGTTGAGTGTGTGTATAGGTTGACCAAGTGTGTGCGCACTTGAGAGAGAGAGAGAGAGAGAGAGAGGAACCAGCTGGCTGTGTTGGGTTGCAAATCAGGAAAAAAAAATAAAAGAGAAGGTTGAAGCCGTAGAACTCAGATGGGATCTAGCCATCTATGGCAAGCCGTGAGCGAGAAAGGGGAAGGGGAGAAGAAGACTAAAAAAGCTTAGGAGGAGATCAATGGTTGAGAAGGAGTTCGAGATCTCTGGTGTGGCCACTATTTGAGTTAGATCTGGAAACATTAGAGGTGAAGAAGAGGAAGACTACGGGACTGAAATCTTTTTGAACTAGTCGGAGAAGATGAAGACGAAGACAAAATGGGTTGGTATTGTTTTGAACCGGCCGGTTTTAGGAATCTTCGGTTCACCGGTTTTAGAAAAAACCGGCCGGTTTTTCGGTTTCCCACAGGTTTGATTCTTAGGCGGTCTAACTAAAGAATGAGACCGTTTTAGATCCCGGTTCACGGTCTAACCGGCCGGTCCGGTCTGGTTCTGATAACACTGCAACATATCCCAATATTTTGGATATAGTCATATAACCCTTGATTTCATATACAAACAAAACTTTGTTTTTTAAAAAAATTTTAATCTTTTGTTTTCACTGGGAGAGCTTGGCTTCCTCGGTAATTAAACTTCTGTATAGGCTTTTACGACTTTCAGATTGCCAAAAAACATGTGATTCGTTATCTAGACATGAAAAGATGACAGCAAAATATATAGAACTCAAGCATGCCTTCAAAAAATAGTCCTGTTTCCCATCCACCAGAAATTTTTGCTCAGATGATGAGGATTAAATAATCATTTTGGTGTAATCTGTGGAGCCATGGAGATTTTATGCAAGTTGAAGTGAAGGTTGCTAAGGAGCCTCTCTGATAGCCTAACATTCATTGGAGAAGCATTATGTAATCAATTTTCCATTATTTCCCTGTTTCAGCTATTTGATGGAGCTTCGACATTGTCGGATTCACATTTCTCCAGTATTGGGAATCAGATTGATTATCCTTGCTGGCATTGGCTCGTGTGTGTTTGTTTCTTCCTTTTCAAGTGAGGTCATTTTTTTTTTACCCTTTCTACCTTTTAATGATGTTGACTGTCATATCCTTGTGGTTCTGTTGGTTATAATGTCCTCTTATTTAAATTGCTCCTTTCTAGACATTGGCTCCAAAAAACTACAAACAACCTTTATTTCTTTCCTATTTGCAATCCACCTCTTGTATGTTCATCCTCTCTTATTTTCAAAATTCAGGAGGCTCTGCATAACTCAAATGTTGAACCGAACGCAGCGCATTGTCCTGAGACATATATTTCCAAGTCGTATTTCAAGAAACATGCTTACCTTCTTGATCCAGATTTTCAAGATTTCATGGCACACGAACTTCACACTGGGTCATGTGAAGCGTTGCAAGATAAACTCAATCTTGTGCCAAGATTGTCAATTCTGCATCAGCATCTGATTGGTGAAGGTTCTCATCGTCGTCTATCTTCGTCCATCAGATTTAAAAGTCTTCCAGAGTCGTTACCTGAGGTACCTGCACACTTTTGTGAGGCCATAATCATTGAAAGACTACCTTCTGGAGTCTTTGCAGATCCATTTGAGCTACAACATCTTCTCCAGCGTGGTGGTAAATTACCATCATATGCTTGAAGCAACATTCTGTGTATGACTAATTATTCTCAAGTTTTATAGTTTGCACCTTGTTGCAGTGTTTGCTGATGCAGCTGTTTTTGGAGACATAAATTTGGAATTGCCTTCATTTCGGTCAAATCGGTCCATTGTTGAGATTCACTTGGATATTGGTCCTAATATATTATCAGGACACAAAAATGAAGTCGAAATTAACATTGAACTTCCGTTGCATGCACGATATCCGGTATGTGAATGAGACTATGAATAGATTCTGAAAGTACAATAGAAATTCAAAAATTTTTTACAGAACTGGTTGGATTATTGGTTCATTAAATGTTTCTGGTATGTGAAATTTCACTGAGAAATAATGTGATTATCGTTTCATTACATGTTTATAAGGTGGTTTGGAAATGCGTAGTTATGATAGTCCAGTAAATCATTAATTTTTTTATTGGGATACACACTTAATTGTTTTCCCCCTTGTTTATTATTATAATTTTTTCCTTTCATTTAGTACTGAACAGCTGCAAGTTTAAATCTCATTTCTTTTGCAGCCCCTAGGAAAACGTGGCTTTTCAGCAGTTCAGTTTGGCTTGCCCGACTTATTCCTGCGCTGCAGCATTGAAGGAAAGTCGCATAATGAGAGCTGTTTATTTATGTCAACCCACGGAGGAGCTGAATCTCAGGTTGTTGCCGCTGTGTGGGAAGTACCTTGTGGAATTAAGGAACATGAAGATGTTGTCTCTGTTATTACTTTCATCACAGCAATTGTATCAGCTCTTCTAATTGTTTTAACCTCCATTCATTATTCAGATATCACAGACTGCAATCATTTGAAACAATCTTGATTCTTTGCCGAATCTTCTTCTTTTCGTTCTCTTTTTTTCTGAATTTTCCTCTTCCAATGGAACTCTCTCTTGAAACATTTCCAGAAACTCAAGCCCTATTTCCTCTTCTTCTCCTCTTCTTCTTTCGTAGGTTCTTCTTGCAGCCTTATCCCTTTTAGAAATTCTTCTTCCCTTTACATGGAACATGTTTTGTGGCTTGATGATTCTCAATGTACTTAAAGATTATAGTGGATTTAGCTGTATAACTCCTGTAGTTGTATGCTCTTTTCTTCCTTGTGATTTGCTGTCCTCTTTATTGTCATTGCATTTTCTCATTCTTGAGATAAGCTATTTGAATTGGTTTGTCATAAATTCAAACTTATTGGGAAGCCAGAAATGAGTTTATTTATTGAGTATATGCTACACATAATAAGTTCTTAGTTGTTTTTTTATTAATCATAACAAAAATATCCTGTATAAAGTTACATTCTGAAGTTGAAATATGACATGATCAAAATTAAAACATTCTGGTATGAAATAATAATAATAGCTAATCTCCCCCATTGTATTCAGTCCTATTTCCGAAAAATATAAATTAAAGATGAGCTTATTAGTTCAGTAGGACAATTCTTATCGATGACTATCAAGATGTTAAAACATTATATAAATATAACAAAATAATAAATATAATGATATCAAAATTTGATCCAAAAGAATTTATCGATAATTAAGTTCAAGTGATTGTCCGTCAAATAAAATTATTTTGTAACTCCAAAATCTTATCGAAATTTTGGGTCAGACTACAATACCGAATTTTACTTTTCGGTATGGTATCGTCTTTTTATCTGGGTCATTGATGTAATTTTTCTGTTTTTATAGAAATTGATCAATTTAAAAAAGTTGATACCGATTACCTGTTAAACCGATAATGAAAAAGAGTAGGACTTGACAAATAACCTCACCCTAAAAATATGGAACCACTGTCCAAAAAAGTTGAACCCCTCCTTCAACCGTTAAACCCAAAAAGTTTGAACCCTTCCCAAGAATTGGAACCCCTACCACAAAAAGGTTGAAACTCATTCTAAAAAAGTTAAATCCTTATAAAAAATGTGGGAACCCTATGCAAAAAAGATAGAACTCATCTCAAAAAAAGTTGGAACTCCTACATAAAAAAAGTTTGAACCCCTCAAGAGTTGGAACATCTACCCAAAACGTTGTAACCCGTACTCAAAAAAGTTAAAACACCAACAAAAAAAGTTGTAACTCCTACCCAAAAAAGTTGAAACTCCTCACCAAATAAGTTAGAACCCTCCCCCAACTGTTAGAACTCATCAATAGTTGGAACATCTACCAAAAAGTTAGAACACTTACCTAAAAAAGTTGAACCCCTTACCAAAAAAATTAAAACCCTATCCAAAAAAGTTGGAACTCATACCCCAAGAGTTGGAACTTTTATCTAAATAAGTTAGAACTTCTATCCAAAAAAGTTAGAACTCTTAATCAAAAAAGTTGGAACCCACCCCAAAAAAAGTTGGAAGCCCTACCCAAAAATATTGGAACCCTTCCCTGTTAGAACCCACCCATGGAGTTAGAACTTTGGACAAGTTGGAACTGTCCCACAAGAGTTGGAACTTCAACCCAAAAAGTTGGAATCCTACCTCCAACAGTTGGAACCTCTACCCAAAAGAGTTGTAATTCCTACCAAAAAAGTTGAAATTTTTAATCAAAAAAGTTAAAACCCTCCCCAAGTTGAAATCTCAAAAAAGTTGGAACTTTCCCTCAATAGTTGTAACCTCCAAAAATGAAGCCTCACCTAAATAGTTAGAAGCATTATTTACAATTATTTGAATTGTTTGATTTTATTCATTATTTATTTATTGTTAATAAAAAAAATGGAACTATTTATAAAATATTGAATATTTTAGGACTTTTTTTTGATCTAGCTAATCCGACTCACCCAAAAAATTAGAACCCAATTCAAAAAAAGTTATAACCACACCAAAGTATTATTTACAATTCTTTTATTTATTTGATTTTATTCATTATTTATTTGTTGTTATTTAAAAAATATTGAATATTTTTGGACAGTAGGATTTTTTTGATGTAGCGAATTGGAGTCACCAAAAAAATTGGAATTCAATCCAAAAAATATTATAACTTGACCCAATTGGAAGCATTATTTACGATTCTTTTAATTTTTTGATTTTATTCATTATTTAATTTTTTTGTTAATAAAAATTGGGACTATTTATAAAAAATTGAATATTTTTGGAATATTTTTGATTATTTAAGGGATAAAAATGTGATAGTTAAGGAAAAAATGGATAAAAGTGTTATAGTTAAAGTGATAAAAGGGATAAAAGAGTGATATTTACCCAGGATCGGTCTCCCATTTCTTGGACCGATCCTAAATGCTTCACATTGTAAATTACATTTACACCCCATATATTACAATATATTAATCACAAAAACCTTATCTCTCTCTCTACCCACTTTACCGCCTAAAGACTATCACTCCCCAAAAAAGTTAGAACCCTTCCCTAAGAGTTGGAACCCTACTAAAATGGTTGAAACTCACTCCAAAAAAGTTGAACCCTTACCAAAAATGTTGGAACCCTACCCAAAAAAGTTAGAACTCACCCCAAAAAAAGTTGGAACCCTCTTCAAGAGTTGGAACATCTACCCAAAACATTGAAACCCGTACCTAAAAAAGTTAGAACACCAACCGAAAAAGTTGTAACCCCTACCCAAAAAAGTTGGAACCCCTATCCAAATAAGTTAGAACCTCTAAAAAAGTTGGAACCCTCTCCCACAAGAGTTGGAACTTCTACCAAAAAGTTAGAACATCTGCCTAAAAAAGTTGAACCCCTAACCAAAAAAGTTAGAACCCTATCTAAAAAATTTGTAACCTATACCCCAAGAGTTGGAATCTCTATCCAAATAAGTTGGAACCCTACTCAAAAAAGTTGAACCCTCCCCCCAACTGTTAGAACCCACCAACTGTTAGAACCTCTAAAAAAATTAGAACTCTCCCCCCACAAGAGTTGCAACCTCTACCCAAAAAGTTAGAACACCTATCTAAAAAAATTGAACCCCTAACCAAAAAAGTTAGAATCATATCCAAAAAAGTTGGAATCCCTACCCCAAGAGTTGAAACATCTGTCCAAAAAGTTGGAACCCCTAACCAAAAAAGTTGAAACTCATCCCAAAAAAGTTGGAACCCAAACCAGAAAAGTTGGAACCACCCCAAAAAAGTTAGAACCCCTACCCCAAGAGTTGGAACATCTACCCAAAAAAATTGGAACCTCTACCCAAAAATATTGGAACCCTCCCCCAACTGTTAGAACCCACCCATAGAGTTGCAACCTTGGACAAGTTGGAACTCTCCCACAAGAATTGGAACCTCAACCAAAAAATTGGAACCCTATCCCCAACAGTTGGAACCTCTACCCAAAAAAATTTGAACCCCTACCCAAAAAAGTTGGAACTCTTAATCAAAAAAGTTGGAAGCCCTGCCCAACAATATTGGAACTCTCCCCAACTATTAGAACCCACCTATAGAGTTGGAACCTTGGACAAGTGGAAACTCTCCCACAAGAGTTGGCACCTCAACCCAAAAAATTGGAACCCTACCCTTAACAGTTGGAACCTCTACCTAAAAACGTTAGAACCCCTACCCAAAAAAATTGGAACCCACCCCAAAAAAAGTTGGAAGCCCTACCCAAAAAATTTGAAACCCCTGTCCGAATAGTTGGAACCTCTACCTACAAAAGTTGAAACCTCTACTCAAAAAACAGGAAACTCTAACAAAAAAAGTTGGAACCTAACCTAAAAAAGTTGGAACCCTTATCAAAACAGTTGGAATTTCAACCCAAAAAAAATTTCAACACTTCTCCAAAAAGTTGGACCCCTCCCCCAACTGTTTGAACCCACCCCAAGTTGGAACTCTCCCTCAAGAGTTGTAACCTCCAAAAATGAAGCCTGACCCAAATAGTTGGAAGCATTATTTACAATTATTTGAATTTTTTTGATCTAGCTAATCCGACTAACCCAAAAAATTGGAACCTAATTCAAAAAAAGCTATAACCAGTTATAACCACACCAAAGCATTATTTACAATTCTTTTATTTGTAATTCTTTTATTCATTTGATTTTATTCATTATTTATTTGCTGTTATTTAAAAAATATTGAATATTTTTGGACAGTAGGATTTCTTTGATGTAGCGAATTGGAGTCACCCAAAAAATTAGAACTCAATCCAAAAATATTATAACCTGACCCAATTGGAAGCATTATTTACGATTCTTTTAATTTTTTGATTTTATTCATTATTTAATTTTTTTTTGTTAATAAAAATTGGAACTATTTATAAAAAATTGAATATTTTTGGGAATTTTTTTTGATTATTTAAGGGATAAAAGTGTGATAGTTAAGAAAAAAATGATAAAAGTGTTATAGTTAAGGGATAAAAGAGATAAAAGGGTGATATTTACCCAGGATCGGTCTCTCATTTCTTGGATCGGTCCTAAATGCTTCACATTGTAAATTATACTTACACCCCCACATGTTACAATATATTATTTTTTTATTTTAAGGTTCACAAATCACAAAAACCTTATCTCTCCCTCCACCCACTTTCCTGTCTAAAGACTGTTACTGCTCTTTGCCTTCTCTCCATCGTGCCTTCCCTCTATATCTTTCACGGTACAAAAATATTTGTTTATTTGGTTTAGATTTTGTTGAGTCTGTAAGATTACTATGAAACTCCATTATTTTTTTTTTTGGTGAACATTGTCTTTGATAATCCATTGGTGATCCAAGTCTTAATCAGATATAATGTAAGTGAATGTTTTTTTAGTTAATAGCGTAATTTATATGATGAAGCCATTTTTGTGTTTAATGGTTTATTTTACATTTAGGGTGAAGAATTAACATGAATCTGAAGCTATTAGGGTGAAGAAGAAACATGAAGCTGAAGATATTAAGTCATCTCGCCCAACAAGCTCCTGACTTTTTTACTAGTGTAAGATTTTTTTTGAATTAATTATTAAGTCATCTCGCCCAACAATTTAGTATTAATTTGATGAATTGAATATTTATTTGATAAAATTGAATGTTAAGTTAATTTGATGAATTAATTATTTATTAGATGGAATTGAATGTGAATTTGATGAATTGAATATTAATTTTGTGTTAATTTGATGAATTGAAAGTTAATTTAGTGTTAATTTGAAGAATTGAATATTAATTTGGTGTTAATTTGATGAATTGAATATTAATTGGATGAAATTGAATCTTAATTTGATGAATTTAATTTCTAATAGTTAATTTAAATTTTAATTTAATGAATTGAATGTTTATTATACGAAATGGA